TGATGATGAGCAGTCTGGGAGGGTCCTTAGAGTGAGAGCTGGGGAAACTGAGGGGAGAAGGGAATTCTTGGAACTCCAGAATTCATTCCTTTCCAGGAAGCCTCCCCAATCCCTTCATCTGGCCTGATCCAGACCCCATGGTCACCAAGGGGAGCCCTGTGACCATCTGGTGTCAAGGGTCTCCACAGGCTGATGTCTACCATCTATGTAAAGGGAGAGACTTTCAGCCCTTGGATACACAGGTTCTACAAAATTTCAGCAACAAGGCTGTTTTCTCCAATGACTCCATGAGCCCACACACTGCAGGGCTGTACCAGTGTGCATATCACAGCTCAAACCATTTGTCAGAGTGGAGTGACCCCCTGCCCCTGTTGGTGACTGGTAGGAGGGAGGAATGGGGTTCCTTCCCCACTGCCCTTCTTCACAGGCAGAAGGGAACTGAGTGTGTCCTCGGGGGGACATCACACCTCACAATCTGTGCCTTGGGGTGTGTGGGGTGATGGTCCTCCTTTAACATGGATTCTCCTCCCTCAGGACTGTACAACCCACTCTCCCTCTCAGCTCACCCAAGCCCTGTGGTGGTATTAGGAGGGAACGTGATCCTCTTGTGTAGATCACAGTTCACTTTGGACACTTTCCATCTGCTGAAGGAGGGAGGAGCTGGCTCTCCCAGACACATGGAATCTCAGGTGTCTCATGGGTGGAGCCAGGCAATCTTCCCTGTTGGACCAATGAACACAACACATGAAGGGACCTACAGATGCTATGGTTCTTGGAAGCTCTACCCCTATGTGTGCTTACACCCCAGTGACGCTCTGCATCTCAATATCACAGGTAAGGAAGCCCCTGCCGAACTCCATATCTTTTTTAGGTCCCCAAATGACTGGACTAAGCTGTGCTCAGGAGAAATGTGGCATGTGTGTCCTCATCAATGCCACTGTTCCTTATCTCCTGGAGTGTACAGGGAGCCCTCCCTCTCAATGTAGCTGTGCTGTGTCATGCTCTATGGAGTGAGCCTGGCCCTCCAGTGTCACTCATACTCCAGCTTTGATAGATTCATGCTGACAAGGATGAGAAGCTCACACCCCACCCCCAGTGCCTTGATGCACAACATGGCCCTGACTTCCACCTGGGCCCTGTGAGCCACACCTCTGTGGACCAGTACAGATGTTTTGATGAACACAACCTCTCCTATCTGTGATCAACTCCTAGTGCCCTCACAGTCATCCTAGTTTGGATGAGTGCCCCCGACCAGCCACATGTCCTGATTGTCTGCTCCGGGTGCTGGATCCAGTGTCACCTCTGGTGGGGGAGTCCAGGGAGAGAGTCTTGGAATAGAGGCTGAGACGGGAAGTGGTCCAAGGAGAGCAAGAGACATGGAAATTAAGTAGACACCCACAAAGTGTATGAGAAGAGCTGAGAGAGGGATCACAGACAGCATCCCTGGGAGAAGGAGGGTCATTCCTAAGGTCAAGGTCAAGTGCATGTGGTGAGGGGCTGCTGCCTACACACCATAACCTTTCTCTTTCCCAGGAATGAATAAAAACCCTCCCTTTCAGCTCAGCCAGGGCCCTGAGTACCCTTGTGAGAGAGAATAACTCTGCAGTATCACTCAGAAATCTGGACTGATACCTTCGATCTATCCAAGAAGGTGGTCAGTCGTTCCTCCTCAGAGACTTCATTTGCTGGATATCACTTCATCTGGTCAGGCCAATTTTACACTGAGTCCTGTCACCTCAGCTCATAGGTGTCTCACAGGTGCTGTGTCTGACATAGCACCTCCCTACCTGTTGTCACACCCCAAAGAACTGTAGGAGCTCATGGTCTCAGAATAAAAACTCCCAACCCCTTGTCTATTGAGGGTCAAGATCCTCAGCATAAATCTCTGTGCCAGAGCAGCTCAAGGCCAGGATGAAAGTGAAAGAAAAACAGGGAGGGCCAGCCACAGGGCAATCCCACCCCACAGAGGAAAGAAAAAAGACAGGGCAATTCCACTCTCACTCTGTGCCTTACTCCCTACCCCACCCACTCCACCCCTCCTCGAGGGTGATAGACGGTTCCCAGTGAGTGCAGGGTGGAGATGAAAGAACATAAAAGGATGACATTTAAGGAAAAGAGGTGGAGCTGAGGAACAAAGCAAGAGGCAGCCACAGCCCCACATCCTCCTTCTGTGCTTTTTTAAAGCAACATGTGGGGTGTGCAACCCCTCACCTCCATGGACACACTTTATGTCTTTTGAGTAACAGAGTCCTCAGCCCAGAGGAGACCCAG